TCCTATCACAGGAAAATATCTTCAAAAGGTGCGATTGATTCGTAATCATGCATGCTCTATTATAAATTTAATGATGTTAAACCATGTATAATCATAATTTTTATTTACTACATTTACAAACAAGAGCAATGTTTATTTTTGAAAAAAAAATCAATCAACCCAAATGAGCTTTCAACCTTTGATATTTTCCCTGAGCAAATAAAATGATCGGCATGGGCCACGTGTGTCCAAGCATCTTTTACTTTTGAGTTAGCAATGGATTACATGACTTCTGAGATGCATTTTTCAATAAAAGTCAAATAGGATATTTCTTTCGACATGTGCACATCCCTGTAACGATAGCAGTATTCAGGTAAATGTTTTATCACTGCGTTTGACACGTTTTCTCGACCTGCATGGATTTTTGCTGTACATAAATGTATTCCGTGTTAGTGTACTTTTTATATTGCAGCAAATGCATTCAAAAATAATTTAATTCTTTATAGTTCTATTTTTTGTTGAATTTTTACTTTTCAAACATGTATTGGTCGTTTATGGACTTTTAAAAACTATGCTATCGGAGATGTGTACATGTCGACAGCCAGACTAGAGAATCACTCAAGTGAAACAATTCGTCAAGGCTATATATAGCAGGTACAGGTGGCCAAAAATCTTCGATTAAAATATGGCGGAATCGAACAAATATGTCGGACAAGGGCGTACAGGAATGTAGTAAGTCGTACAAAGATGAAAACTGATGCCTTTTTAAGAGTTCATGTCAGCTTTAACTAAAGTAGAACCTGTCCAAATTCAGGGGTCGTACGAATTGTTAACGGGAGCAGTCTTAGATCCGTTTATTTGTACCACCTGAATTCCTAAACTGAATTTAAACAAAACAAAAAAACTTATGCTTTTTCGGTTGTGAGATAGTACAGGATTACAGTAAACTGTTACAGCAATAAAAAAATGTATAATCTATGTAATTTTAATGCGCCTGAATCGATAAATCGGGAGTGCATATTGTTTTTGTCCTGTCTCTCTGTCTGTTGTCAACTTTAACCTTCGCCTTAACTTTTGAACCATGAAAGATAGAGACTTCATATTTAATATGCATACTCCAATAATTATGCCCTCTCAAATGACACCAAAGTCAATGACCTTGACCTATATGCTAAAAATAGCTTTTTCGTACCTTTGCAATAACTTTTGAACCATAGAGACTGCATATTTGGTATGCAAACTCCAGAGTCCACAAATCAAGTTCTTTCAAATAGCACCGAGGTCAAAGACTGTGACCTTGATCTATATGCAAAAAAAACTTTTTGAACCTTCGCTATAACTTGTGAACCATGGGAGATAGAGACTTCAAATTTAGTATGCATACTCCACTAATTAAGGTAAATGTCGTTAAAATGAACTTGACCTATATGCTAAAAATACCTTTTTTGAACTTTGCTGTGGGCACATAGTGTTACACAAACACATCTTGTTTTTTTTTCTGCAAATAGCTGCGTTAATTCCTGTATTGTATTCCATGTGACAAGATAGACCTTTCTTTGGGTACCAACATATTTGACTTCTTGATCATGCAGTTTGACCCAAATAAAAAGAGACAACGACATTATTAAGATTATTTTTTTATTCTTTCAACAAAAATATATCACAGATAGAGTAACAATGCTGGGTCACACTATTTCAATGAAAGGAAACACACTGTGTTATTGTATAGCAGTATCTGATAGAAAAATATGAAATTAGTCATGGAAAATGTTGCATCCTTAATACTTAATGTTAATTCTAAAGTTTATGAAAAGTGAACATGATTTTTTTTTTTCATTTTTATGTAGTTAGCTGCATTTACAGTCATTTGTCAAACCAAACTGGACTTAATGTCTTGAGTATTGAATTCTAAAATAAAATTTTTTTTTACAACAGTACTATAATGTATATAATACAGTATATATAAACAATTTTCAATGTAAAAACAAAAATAACAATTACATGTACAAATTACAATGAGAGAACCCGAAGCCTTTATTTAATTTCCCTAAAAATAATTAGTTTTTCATAACAAGGAGCCTGTACACCACAATGTTCACCTGAGTATACTGATCCTGCTATTCTTCCATGAGAGATATTTATATTTTTCCACTCATAGACTCTCGAGGTTAGGATTTACATTAAACTTGAATCCACGTGGCATAAAGAAAACTTCAATATGACTATAAACGTGGCCTTATTGTTCTGAAGAAGATTTTATTCTAACAGATGGATGGTATAAAGTATTTTTTCCAGTGCAAATATTTGTTTTTATGACAGTGTGCAGATATAATAGTTGAAACTTTCAGATGTGTTAGTTGTATAAGAATGATTGTTGTAATTGATAAATAATCCATGTTCTGATACTGTCAATGAAGACTTTATGGAGGTAACGTTATATCCCCCACTGAGTCCTCATATTTTCCTCCCGCGGCTACGGCCCTCACCATAACGTACACCTTCAGACGAGACCAGCTGGTGATGGCCGGGGGTAGGCCAAATGTGATACTAGTCTGTGTCGTCTCCTGCCATTGGACGATCTCTCCTCCACCAATCACCTTGCCAGCTGATACCTCGTAAAACAGAGGGTGTGGAGAGCTGAAGATTCCATCCCAGGAGACTGTAAACTGTTTATTCCCTGCACTCCAAGTGATTGTCATCTGGTTTGTAGCTAAATATTAAGAAATACAATGTACAGTCATATTTTTCTTTTCACACTAACATTATAACTAAAAACAAATTGACAAATATCAGTCCTAAACATGCTTTGCATGATCTTAAAATATGAAACGATTGTGAGATACAATATATAATGATGTATGATAATTTCAAAGTAATATAAATTTTGAGACTCAAGTACACATGTGCGATATAAAAAACTTAAGCGACTCACCATGTTTGACTGGTTTGTCAGTAAATACTGTGATGTCTGACTTGACCTTGTCACTGATGAGGAGCAGCTCACTGAAGGCCTGGGTCGTGACATTGATCTGACTCGAGGTCAAGGCCAGATTGTTCACACTGGTAAACATAATATTTTGTCCTTCTGGGAATGGCATCTTCTCCACCAAATTGAAGTTGTTTTCTTGGATAGATACCTACACATGAAAATATAAAAGATCCAATTAATGATAAATATTGGATGAGGGAATTAAAACAAGAGGCCCAGGGGCCACAGCGCTCACCTAAGCACATCAGGCTTGAATTTACTCCAACCCCCCAACCCCCTCCAGGCGTTCATCATTTGAACAAACTAGAATCTACACTACCTGAGGATGATTCCATATAAATATCGCTAATCATAGCTTTGAAGTACTTGAAAAGAAGATTTTAAAAGGTTTCCCTATATATCCCTATGTAAAACTTGGGTCGGCCATTTTGGCCCCACCCTAGCCCTGGGGGTCATGATTTGAACAAACTTGAATCTACACTACCTGAGGATGATTCCACATGAGTTTCATCTTTCCTGGCCCAGTGGTTCTGGAGAAGAAGATTTTTAAAGATTTTTCCTATATATTCCAAGGTAAAACTTGGGTCGGCCATATTGGCCCCACCCTAGCCCCGGGGGTCATGATTTGAACAAACTTGAATCTACACTACCTGAGGATGATTCCACATGAGTTTCATCTTTCCTGGCCCAGTGGTTCTGGAGAAGAAGATTTTTAAAGATTTTTCCTATATATTCCTATGTCAAACTTGGGTCGGCCATTTTGGCCCCACCCTAGCCCCGGGGGTCATGATTTGAACAAACTTGAATCTACACTACCTGAGGATGATTCCACATGAGTTTCATCTTTCCTGGCCCAGTGGTTCTGGAGAAGAAGTTTTTTAAAGATTTTTCCTATATATTCCTATGTAAAACTTGGGTCGGCCATTTTGGCCCTACCCTTGCCCCAGGGGTCATGATTTGAACAAACTTGAATCTACATTACCTGAGGATGATTCCACATGAGTTTCATCTTTCATGTCCTAGTGGTTCTTGAGAAGAAGATTTTTAAAGATTTTTCTTATATATTCCTATGTAAAACTCCAGCGGTTCTGGAGAATAAGATTTTTTAAAAATGCCATTAATTTTTAACAAATTCATGATTATCTCCCCTTGGAAAAGGGCGTGGCCCTTCATTTGAACAAACTTGAATCCCCTTCACCCAAGGATACTCTGTGCCAAGTTTGATTGAAATTGGTCCAGTGGTTCTCGAGAAGAAGATGAAAATGTGAAAAGTTTACGACGACGACAACAACAACGACTACAACGACGACAGACAACGGACAAATTTTGATCAGAAAAGCTCACTTGAGCCTTCGGCTCAGGTGAGCTAAAAAGGGAAATTTATTGCCCTCTTCCACCTGACTTTCAAAATAGCCCAATATTAATTCCAATTTTTTTTTAAACCCACTGGAGACAATTTTTTCACAACCAACCAACCCAATTTATTTTATCATGAGCTGGAAGAGGGCAAGCAAACAATTTTTTTTTTAACACATGGTCTTATTCCAGCAAAAAAAGAAAGATCAATGACTTCTTAATAATATAAAAATAAAACTTGACATCATAGAACAATTTTTGGTGTACCTTGTACTGTTCAACCCCGATATGGTCCGTGAATCCAGTCCACCTGAGTCTGATGTTATCTGTGACACTCTGATAGCTGGCCCTGGCCTGGTACTCTGTGACAGACTGGGGGACAGACTCCACTACAGCGCTAGTCACAGAGGGAGGCTGGTTCGATATCTTTACTCCATTAGAAGATTTAGAGCTGAGAAGACCAGCATTGTTTTCACATCGTAGACTTGTGTAGATAGTTTTTCCCTGTAGCACACTATAATCAAAGTCTCTGAAGGCTGATGTGGCACCACTAGAAACTTTTACAAAGACCTGCAACTCCACTCCCTGGGGTTGGGTACCTGCAGGAAAAGTATAGTTACACTAAAGTTAGATATTTTGGTCTTGACCTTTGGAACTGACCAAAAACTTGTTTCAAGATCACTGTGGACACTCTATGTGTTGTGTATTGTTACTGTCACATTAAGAGAGAATAATTTTGGTATTCTCTTATACCAAATCTATGTCAAAGCACAATTTAAGTAAAGTTACAAACCGATGGCCCATTCACAGTATGCTATTCCTGATTCTGGATCATTAACGTCCCAGTTAACTGCCACCTCAGCATCAGTCCAGGCACTCTGGTCCTCATCTGAAAGGTATTAAATCCCAGTTATAAATTTTGCTTCTAGATATATAAACTTCAAATTGCACTGCTTAACAACTTATTTTCGGATTCTTGAACACTAGAAATAGTGAAATCTTAATTTTTTATGCATACCTGTTAAATTACAGTCATTTGTATACAAAATCATATATTATGAACATTTTACTTGTTATTTTGGAAATAGTGTTAAAAAATACCCTTTTAGGTAAATAAATTACATAAAATGTCTTTGATCCTTTGTGTATGGATTACTGAGATGATTATTCCACAAGGTATTTGACAGACTTACTTCTAAGCCTTCCATCGTAGACCCCCACAATATCAGGTGGAGTCAGATCCACCAGAATTTTATCTGAGTACGCTATTCCCCGTAAACCCACTGCATTGATGGCTAGAGCTGTCACATAGATGTAGGAATTATGGACCAAGGTCACAGTTGAATTGTAGGCAAAGTTACTGAGGCCCACACTCTTAAAGCCTTGTAGCTGTGTCCCTCCTTGTGTATAACCTGTATAATAAATATTTGATTAAGCCTTGAAAACTGAAAATAAGAAAATACAAGCTTTTTTCTACACAAATTTGAAATATGCATAATCATTCTGATATGAAATTTTCTGAAAGATATACATGTACATGGATACTAATTTTCATATGTCAAATTTGAAAAATAGCTAAAATTTATTTCAATTTAGCCTTCAAAATTCAGGACTCTCATTTTGTAAAGAAAAAAATTTTTTATAGGGTCAATACTTTGCTATTTTTTGTTGCATTAAAAAAATTAGCCAATATTAAAGCATTCATATTCTAATTCTAGTTAGCTCATACCTATGGCCCACATGTATTCAGTGATAGGACTGACATCCTCCACAAAGTTCCAAAAGCCATGAATGGAGCCCCACTCATGAAGGTACACCACATGGGCCTGAACATCTGTCCCATTTGTTCTGTTCTGTTTCTTTTCCACATGTTCCAGTGTCAAGTGATCAATAAATACCCCAGTCTTCTCATCCATGCTCCCCACTGTCAAATTGGCTGAATCTTTCTGTGCAGTGAAGTAGAATGTGTGTTTGTGCCATGAAATAATCTCTCTAGATTCAGATTTACCATGTTCGTCACCTCTATAAGTTTTAGTGTAGAGGAAGAAAACATGCTGCTTGTCTCCTAACTTAGCAAAGCCTTCCTTGTTTGACTGAGTGGAACTGC